TAGGCCCGTGCGCACTTTTCGTTAATTCATGCGACTTTATTATTGAACCAATAATATATTTTTTATACCACGATTCATAAAAATCAAGAGAAGTTACATATTTGAAAATAATGAATTAGTATTTAGAAAAAAGATCTCGTTAAATCTTTACATCGCGTATAACGTTGAATAAGATAACAAAATAAGGTAAGATAATTGAATAATTGAAGAAGGTAACTAAATTAATGAATTAATGCATTTAAATTTTTAATACTGAAAACCTACTCGGATATGAAGCTGCAAACGTAACGCTGGTATATCTTTATTGGCCCGCAATACACACATTAGAGCTATGCTCGCCGCAAACATATTTTCGCATTTTGTGCATGAAGTTTTAGATTTTCTGTGTTTCACAGTCTCATAACAACTTGTAGGGACCATGAGTCCGCGCTGTTTTCCAGCTTGTAGGGACCTTGAGGTTGCATCCCTGCATATATTTCTCCATTCTAGGTATAAAAGTACCGTGAAGATTTTAATCCCGTACATTGCAGCCTTACTGGGAATATATTGCCTGAAAGGACATCTGTCTCTATAAAAGGTTCAATTTTTCATCGATGGTGACGTACTCACCAAACCTGTATAACTCCTTACAGTTATTTACAAATAAATCAAACATAGATCTTACAGGAGCAAGTTTATCAAGTTCTTTTCTTTTCATACGATCTTTAACATCATCGAATCTTAGACAACGTAACAGAAACAGAAATCTCTTATAAGACATAATCCGGTGGAATAGTTCCAGTCCTGTGTCATCAGCGGCCCAAATATCTTTCACGTTAACGTGGGAGGATTTATGTAATCCACAGAGGTAAAGAAGGCCGATTAAGGCTTTTATTTCGATTAAATTAGTTTTTTTTTTTTTTTCATTCACGGTATCCTTGAAAATTATCCGAAATCTTGTACATGAAAATGTTCGTGCAATCAACAATGCGCTATAATGTGGTATTATCGAACAGTAATAACCAAGTGTCTATAGGGGACAATACAGTTCTCGCATCACCAACATATCCAGGCAATTTAGAGATAATATTATACGAAATTGCTCTTATATTTTGTTTTGGCTTTTTTTTTATTCCATTTTGTAACCCCATCTATCCCGGTATAAAATTCTCCTAAACTGAATGCATCTATTTCATCATCTAAATCCAACTCTTCTTCAGATGAAGTTTCATGAGCATTAAATTGCTCTTCATCGGTACTTTCTTTATCATCATCTCCATTCATTGATTCTTCATCTGTTGATATTTCGGCAAGTAATGTTTGAAGCCGTTTCATTTCATCTTTATAGCTTAAGTAACAATGCATCTTTTAAACTCTTATACAAACGTTATTTAAAAAAAAAAAAAACAAAAACGAATGCGAGAACGCGCGTTGGGTCTTTTGGGCTCGGAGATTCAGTTCCTAGCTAAAGACGGCTTTTTTAAGAAATATGATCTCCTACACTATGGATAGAGGGTGACATAGGAAGCAGGTACGGGTACACTCAACAATTTTCGAAAGATGAGAGGTTGAATATTTGCCCGGGCTTGTAAGACCCAACGTGCATTCTCGCGAGTTAATAAAACTAAAAATATCTGATGTGGACAATGTACGATTTCCTTGTATGCACAATTAAAATATACATATTTTTGCTGCATTTCATTAAGCGTGTTTCCTCGAATAGAGTATTTATCATTCAATTAATTCAGTTATCACTTCGAGGGAAAGCAAACATACATGAAAACTCAAAATTTCTTCTTTAAAAATTGTAAATTACAGAAAAACATAAAACACCAAATATAGTTAAAACAGTTATAAAAAAATTGCTGTTAGAGTTTCTACTCAAAAAAGCAATTCGGCCAGTCGGCAAAAAGGCAGAATTTTCAGGTACAAAACTAAAAATTTACTTTTGGTCCCACTCTCGTCAAGTCTTCATTCACTGTTCTACTGAATTTCAAATGTAAAAGTACGGCGATCCGTGAGGCTTAACTCGCCATTTTAAATGGTTGATATTACTACAATTACTGCATGCAGATTAACTACAGGCATATAAACCTTAACCAGGACTTAACATAACCTCATAATTCAATAACCTCATAATTCAATCACATTTCAAGCAAAAAATGTACAATTTACCAACATATAAAGAATTAAAAAAGTAAGATCATCGAGCTAGGTAACAAGTGGGAATACGCACTTTGTATACGATTGGTGCAGCCGAGTGCAACGGAAAAGAGAGGTGCACAACTGCATGTAATAGCAGTCCCATATATAAAATTTCAACGTTTCTAGGGTTACTTATTGTGGAAGATAAATTCATACATACGTATGTATAGACGTCACGAATAAATCCCTTCTAAATCCATTTTACAATCCTTTTTGGCAAAAATCACGTACACTGCGATACTTTCCGTACGTGCAGATGTGACGCTGAAACATTGTTCAAATGTTTCCTGAGCGGTTGAAAAGGATATTTTCTTTGAAATATAATACCTGAAATTTTTCACAATTACACAACATCCTTTACTTCGTACAAGGAAGTAAATATTTTGCAAAAATGGGAGAAGCCACAATCTTATTACATGGAAACTAATTGCGGAGTAGAGCGAAACTAAATGTAGTGCCTTCTGTAGATAAAAACTCTAGTGAAAGGCAAAGATATTAGAATTTATTTTTCCTGCTTCATGTGATTAAGGCAAAGCCTCGAGGGCTATCTGCCTAAGAAAAGGGATGTCTTAGTGGAGGACTCTGTAAAGGAAACTAGCTCGTATACACAATACACTTGGGGAAAACTACGAAAACGCCCATGCAGCCAGCCCGTTCGCGGGATTTGAAACTCGGACCGAACAACCAGTGTTCAGCGACACCAGCCGCTGATGGGCTTTAAGAACTTGCACAGCAATGGGAATTAATGTCATTAAACGAAGATGATAAAGTTTTATTAATAAAAACTTTCATTGAAAGCATTTCACTAATTGAAGAAGTTTTATGAATACTTTTTGTAGAACCAAAGTTAAACCTATGGTTAAGCGCGCAACTAAGACTAGTTATTGAAAAGATGTTTACAAATCGCACTGACCGAATATGTTATAAATTACAAAATATTATTTTTGATATTAATTAAAGATTCATTTACTTCCTTCTTTGAATAAATCGTAAACTAAACTTTAAAAACATTGCCATTTCACTCTGATTTTCTTTTCTAGAACGTTCTAGGACAGCTTTGTTATTTTTAAATATCTTTGTTCTACTAAAACAAAATACAAATCTTTTGAATGCACGAAAAACTTAACAAAACGCATTCTCAGCAAGATTTCGCTGTAGGTAGTAAAACCGAGGCAATGTTAGATATCTCTCCATTCCTTAGCTGCTTCACTTTCAAAACGAGGCAACAAGTCCTTGAGACGAAGTTGGAGTATACTACAATCGATAAATTCCCTAGTGCAAAGAATCTCCCTCCACCTGTGCCCTTTTTAAAGCTTCCTGCATCCTGAATATCTGAACGCAGGCTACGTATCTCGAATTTTCAATAATTAAAACCTGTGGAAATATCGTGCCAGAGAAGCATTTGAGAGTACTTTAAAATGATTAGCGATTTACTAAAAAGGCGTGTCGTATAATCGCGCAAGTGAAAGTAGCCATACGTTGAAACTGAGCTAAGGAATAGCGACGATTATTGCAATAGCTGTTAGCCTTTGTCTGTGCCGCACAGTTACTAATAAAACAACTAGATATTCGCTGATCAGGATGAATTTCTGAAGAGATTAGTATGTTTAACAGAGCTTAAATATTACAGTATCGAGGTACAAAACAAAACGATATCGATATTTGAATTTGTATCGATATTTGTAATCGTACTTTGTGGTTAAACAAAATTAAGCATTTATAGTAGTGTAGAATCATTAGGGTTTTTGATGTTGAAGACGTGAAAAATGTGCACTGCCCTCGCCAGTGCTTGAGACTGGATCTCTGGAATAAGCTCCGAGTGTTCTACCGTTACGCAAGGAAAGCATGGTTTTTCAAAACCTGCTTGAAACTAAGGTAACTTTTTGTTTCATTTTAAATGATTGACTAAAAACCAAACTAATTGAGCCAATTGACTAAAAGTATTTGGTCATTTAATCACTCACATGGCGGCAATTTTGTGTCACTTGGCAATTTTTATAATCTCATTGACCTCATTTTTCAAATGTATTTGGCAACTTTAGTTATAATATGTATTTTATGATACTTTAATAATATTAACCGAGATATTGATTACGAGAGTGAAGTATTTTCCATGTTCTAGTATACAAATCAGCAAAACTTCAGTAATTCTATCAGAATATCCAAATTATTAGATTAACAGCGAGCGCATTAAACAGCGTCTACTGCATATATTGCAACAAAAATATTATCAAAAATATCAGAACTACGCCGAGACTACCCGTAAACAGTTGTTCTGCACAGGTTCTTAATATACATATATAAACCTTAATAATAATTAGACACAGTGAGTCTACTATTAGAATATCTGTTTACAATTTCAATATTTATAGAAAAAGAAATAAATCTTATCTACTTGAATTCTGCACATGCTTCTTGACGAATAAACACTTTTATTAATACTCGACATCAGCATTTTCACAGTTTCTTTGAAGTAAAGCAGGAACTAGGATATTATTCAATAAACAGAACACAAATACAATATAATAATTCAATTCAATTCATATCAACATTAAATTCATAGAACACTTCTATCACTAAGCAAACACGGATCAGAACGTGCATGGCAACGCCGAAAACTGATGCATTTCCACAAAAAAAGGATACATAAAACTCGCGTCATTCAAACATTAATACATTAAAAGTCTCGTGTTCATTCAATAAAGTTATTCATAAAACATTCTCGTGGATATCTTCCGAAGTTTATTGACGGCATTACGTAACATTCTCCCACCTTGATTTGCCACCTTCGAGGTAAATCAACAAAGTTCGAAAGTTCAATAGGCCAGTCTCTTAGGTATCTTGATTACTCTGCCGCTTCTTGACGTCCGAGGAGCTGTTGAAACATCCTTCTGAATTAGAATGTCATTCTGTGATGCTGCTGGTGTGTCATTAGTAGGATGTTTATCTGGTATAACGGGATCCCCAGAAGAGTTAACTTCTAGAGGGTAAATCTTTTGGACTGGACGAATGAGATGACCAAGAGGAGTTTTGACTTTGACGACTCTCACATGGCCGTCTCTCCCTGGATATAGTTCTTCAATAACTGCAAGTGGCCGATTGAGTCTCTTCTGGTTTTCAGAACCGACAAGGACCACTTCTCCAACTTTGAAAATTTTGTCAGATGTGCCAGCCTTTTGCACCAACTGACCTAAATATTCTTTTCGGAATTGTTGTCTGAATTGTTCACGCAGTTCTTGGCAGTAACTTTCTCTCTTTACCAGTTTTTTCCTATCCAAATGATGAAGATTAGCCGTTCCAGTTTCTTTTACATCTTTGGAGAAAGTTGGATGGTGTTGGAGGCCTCAACTCAACTGCATCGTTGGAGATGTATGTTAACGGGTGGTTGTTAACGGTGGCTTCTGCGTCGCAAAGAACTGTGAGCAGTTCCTCATACGTAACAGACGACTTACCAAGAACTCGAACAAGTAGATTTTTCACTATGCGAATTAGTCTCTCCCACCAACCGCCCCACCATGCTGCGGTTGGGGGAATGAATTTCCAGTTAATTGGATTTAGAGTTTCAAGAGCAGCTATCTTTTGCCACTCAATTTGGTTCAATGCACCAGAGACACCGATAAAGTTCGTGCCGTTGTCACTATAGATAACTGTCGGACACGGCCTCGTCGAGCGATGAATCTTCTCAACGCGAGTGCACAGCAATCTGCACTTAAGGATGTCACAATCTCCAAATGTATTGCTCTGTAGACTGCGCATGTAAACAGCACCACCCAGGCTTTAGTCCTTTTCCTAAGAATAAGGGACCACACAAGTCAATTCCGGTGACTTCGAAGTTCGAGCGTCCCGTACTCTGTCTAAAGGTAAATGAATAGGTATGGTTGAAGGTGACTTTGTTGTGAATCTCTTGCAGGTAATGCATTTCTTGATTATTGATCTAATTGTTTGTCTAGCTGAAATAATCCAAGTATTCTTCTCTAATCATTGACATGAGCATTTGAACACCGGCATGAGAATTCTTTTTATGGTATTCGAGCACTACACTTTGCACAATATGATGCTTTGACGGAAGTAGAATTGGATATTTAAATCCAAATTCATCATCTCTTGGGAGAATCTTTGTTTTCACTCTTATCAGTCCTATTTCATCTCTGACGACTGAAAGACCATTTATTACATCTCCAGTCTGAAAAAAACTTTCACGCTGAACTAGTAGACTCAAAGTGTTTTTTTGAATCTTTTAACTCGGCTGCAGACAAGAATTTTGCTCTATTTACAGATTTTGCCTGATAGCTTCTAATAAATCTTAGAACCCATGCTAAAATTCTTACAATTGCTGAAAATTTTGAATATTTTTCATACCACTTAGATGTATCAGTACTCACACTAACGTTTAATACTACAGTTTTCTTTCTGATTTCTGAAGAAATTAATGCCTCATTGGGTTTAATTTCAAGGCGTGGCCAACTATCCTTCGGATTCTTTAACCAGTTAGGACCCTCCCACCATGAATTCTTTAGAATTTGATGAGGGGTACAACCACGAGATGGTGTATCAGCTGGATTTAACTGGCTTGGCATATAAGACCACTGATTTTCCTCTGAAAGTGCGCAAATCTCTCTGACACGATTTCCTACAAAAGTTCCCCATTGAGCATTGCGTTTGATCCTTGACAGAGCTGTGTGGAATCAGACCAGTAATGGTTTTCAATTTTGTCTAAGGATAATGCCTCTACAACATACTTCGCTAGACTTACTCCTAAAACACAAGCTAAAAGTTCAAGACGTGGTATTGTCATCTTTTAAAGTTCCAACACGAGATTTTGCGATCAGAAAATTTATATATGTGACACCATTGTTTTTGCAACGTAATAAAATCACGGTCGCGTAAGCTTTCTGGCTCGAGTTTTGAAATCTGATAAGATCTGTAATTCACAGTACCATTTCAAATATTTTTGTTTGACCTCTTCTGACAATGGAGAATCCCAATCTGCTTTAATAGACCAAACTTCTTGAATCGATAACTTAGCCGGTAATAATACAGGAGCTAAGAACCCTAGCGGATTGAAAACCCCCTGTATTAAGGACAAAATCTCTCCTTTTGACAGGTTGTCTAGATTTCATACAGGCTTAATATGAATAGAAAGGCTATCATCCGTTTTAGCTCATAGAATACCCAAGATTGAAATCTGATTCTCAGAAAGGGATTCCGAATTATTATTCTTCGAAATTTTATTAATGTCGTTTATAGGACCGAATGTCCACATCCGTAGGTCCATCTTAGTCTCTGCTAAAATGTCAATTGATTTATCCATAAAATCTTTCAACTCTTCCTCAACTGTCGAATGGCCTCGTCGAGCGATGAATCTTCTCAACGCGAGTGCACAGCAATTTGCACTAAGGATGCCACGATCTCCAAATGTATTGCTCTGTAGACTGCGCATGTAAACAGCACCACCCAGGCTTTAGTCCTTTTCCTAAGAATAAGGGGACCACACAAGTCAATTCCGGTGACTTCGAAGATTCGAGCGTCTCGTACTCTGTCTAAAGTTAAATGAATAGGTATGGTTGAAGGTGACTTTGTGTGAATCTCTTGTAGGTAATGCATTTCTTGATTATTGATCTAATTGTTTGTCTAGCTGAAATAATCCAGTATTCTTCTCTAATCATTGACATGAACATTTAAACACCGACATGAGAATACTTTTTATGGTATTCGAGCACTACACTTTGCACAATATGATGCTTTGACGGAAGTAGAATTGGATATTTAAATCCAAATTCATCATCTCTTGGGAGAATCTTTGTTTTCACTCTTATCAGTCCTGTGTCAAGGACTCTCTCTGTGTCAAGAGACGTGACACAATTATCAACATAAAAAGAATTTAGAAGCTTTTCTGCTACGTGACTTTGTTCTTCATTTTTACCCAAGGGGGCCTAAAAAATGTTCACAACGCAATATCTTCTTCCACGTTCTTTGTAGAATGGCTGCTGGAATCTGAAATTCCTTTTGTGTCTAAGTTCCAAAGATTGGATACGTTTAGGTCGCGAAACGTCAGACTTACATTCAGAGTAGATATAATACTACACTGTGGTTCGGAATGCTCCTTAAGTCGACCACAAACAGTCCATCCTAATGTAGTGTCAACTGCAGTAAACCCATCGAGCTATTTATTTCCCTGTGAATTACCGTAAATGCACTGCCATTACTCTATATTTCAGGCATTATTTTTTGGCATGCTGAGTATCAAATTATCGATCTGATCTTGGGGGATATTACATCACTCAAAAAGCAATGCACTCCGAAGTTCCGGTAGACATGTAGAAGGAGGTTGACGGGCTGCAACTCGTCGGCCAAGCATGTCCCACACGTGTTCTACTGGTTCAAGTCTGGTGAGAATGCTGGCCAGTCTGTACGGGTGATATCCTCCGATTGAAGGCATTCGCTTACGATATTTGCACGGTGAGGACTGGCGTTGTCATCCATAAACAAAAATTGTGCGCCCATGGCACCCCGAAACAAATGTACATGTTGTTCCAGAATGACGTCCCGATAGATATGGCTTGTCATGATTCCAATTTGAACATGAAGGTCAGTTCTGGAACCCAGAATAATTCCACCCCAAACGAGCACTCCTACACCACCGTAACGGTGTCGTTCAATGATGCTTTCTTGGTGGTAACGAATACCTGGAGCTCTCCATATGAAAGTCCGGCGAGAATCAGACTGCAAGCTAAACCTGGACTCGTCGGAAAACATCACACAAGCCCACTGTTGCGGTGTCCACAGTGCATGCTCTCTACTCCAGGCTAACCGCAGGCGACAGTGAGTTGCAGTAAGTGGAACGCATCTGACAGGTCTAACATAAACCATGCCTTGAAATTGTCGTACCTTTGGCTGAAGAGAGCTGACGAGACAGGCCTGACGAGACAGGACGAGACAGGGTGCTCCGCCTGTTTCTTTTGGCAGTAACTGCCAAATACCGGGCCTCATTCGGCGTTGTAATTCTGGGGCGACTTGTGCTGCAACGTCTACTCACATTACCATTATCTTGGAATCGTTGCCAAAGCCTGGAGATGACACTCTGCGCAATTCCAAGTTCGTCTGATACTTCCAGTTGGGTACACCCACATTCCAGACGGCCGATAATTCTACCATGTAAAAAATCATCCAAATGCGTTCTTTGTGTCATAACTATTCGGTTATTGCACTGAAATCCTTATAAAGCGAACAATTTTATTTCTTTGCCTGTATTCCTCATATATATCACTCTCTTACACTCTCATCATTGTGACGTACCATTGGTGTCATCTGATTACTTCCTGAAATTTGCATATGATTCTTGAAGATGTCTGTAGTGATTTTACAGGTGATATATTTATTTTAAAGTTCGATTTCCGCGTGACTCCGAATTATCCTTAATTTATGGACATGAGTGTATATGGAAACTAATTGCGGAGTAAAGCGAAACTAAGTGTAGTGCCTACTGTAGATGAAAACTCTAGTGAAAAGCAAAGATATTAGAATTTTTTTCTGCTTCATGTGATTAAGGTAAAGCCTCGAGGGCTATCTGCCTAAGAAAAGGGATGTCTTAGTGGAGGACTCTGTAAAGGAAACTAGCTCGTATACACGATACACATGGGGAAAACTACGAAAGCGCCCATGCATCCAGGCCGTTCGGGAGATTTGAACCTCGGACCGAACAACCCGTGTTCAGCAACACCAGCCGCTGATGAGCTTATTAGAACTTGCACAGCGATGGGAGTTAATGTCATTAAATGAAGATGATAATGTTTTATTAATAAAACTTTTCACTGAAACCATTTCACTACTTGAATAAGTTTTATGAATATTTTTTGTAGAACCAAAGTTAAACCTATGGTTAAGCGTGCAACTAAGACTAATTATTGAAAATATGTTTACAAATCGCACTGACCGAATATGTTATAAACAAAAAAATATTATTTCTGATATTAATTCAAGATTCAATTACTTCCTTCTTTGAATAAATCGTATTATTTAAGATAGATTTGAATTCAATATATTTCGTATATTGAAATCAAATGTCTCAAAGAAGTAAACTAAACTTCAAAGGAAGTAAACTAAAAATACAGCCATTGCACTCTGGTTTTTTTTTCTAGAACGTTCTAGGACAGCTTTTTTATTTTTAAATATCTTTGTTCTACTAAAACGAAATGCAAATCTTTTGAATGCACGAAAAACGTAACAAAATGCATTCTTAGCAAAATTTCGCTGTAGGTAGTAAAACCGAGGCAATCTTAGATATCTCTCCATTCTTTAGCAGCTTCAGTTTCAAAACGAGGCAACAAGTCCTTCAGACGAAGAAAAAGAAAATAAAACTGCTTGGAGTATACTACAATCGATAAATTCCCTAGTGCAAAGAATCTCCACCTGTGCCCTTTTTAAAGCTTCCTGCATCCTGAATATTTGAACGCAGGCTACGTATCTCGAATTTTCAATAATTAAAACCTGTGGAAATATCGTGCCAGAGAAGCATTTGAGAGAAATTGTTCGATACTTTAAAAAGATTAGCGATTTAATAAAGAAAGCGTGTCGTATAATCGCACAAGTGAAAGTAGCCATACATTGAAACTGAGATAAGGAATAGCGACGATTGTTGCAATAGTTGTTAGGCTTTGTCTGTGCCGCACAGTTACTAATCAAACAACTAGATATTCACTGATCAGGATGAATTTTTGAAGAGATTAGTCTGTTTTAACAAGCTAAAATATTACAGT